AAGTATGGAACTCTTTATTGTTCGGATTTGTCTCCTGTTCAATCATTACCTAGGCCGTCAACATGATATAACTTCAAATATCACTTTGTACACCTCTTCCCCACCTTGTCTTGAGCAGTATTCATTTGTTTTCTTATTATTACGTAGTTATTTATTGTTTATGACTAAACACTCATCAGAAGTCACTCCATTTACCTAAGAATAACCTACTTCATATTGCCAATTTTAATTACACTATTGATTATCTGCATCTTAATTCCTAAAACTTATCATCTTCATGACTTACTTAGAATTTTATAATTATTGTTCACTAAATTGATCGGTAATTTGATTGAATTATAAACCTACATATATTAGTGTAGAGCCGAAGAGGAAGACCTAATTGAAAAGGAATGTATTTCTTCACTCATTCAATCTTTTTTCCAAATGTTTAAATGGGAATATTCAATATTGTAGAAATGTAGGCTAACATCAGTTATCAGCATAACATATTGTGCAGTTAATTTTACCTCTGTGAAAAAACAAAACACATACTTCAGCCTAAACCTCAACACTATATAACTGATTACTTTACATACCACTGTGTTTACCAGTTCGCAAGTGTGGGTTGTCACAATAAATAGGGAAGAGAAATGAAGTCATGCAGTTGAGAAAGAAGGAACATACACCCATCTAACTGTACGGAGAAATGAAGTGTAAAACGTGAATTATCTCAGGTAGAAGACAACCCTCTTCATCTGCAGCTAATCATTCTATAGGAGTGGATCACAAAACTAACGCTCGAAACAGTTGTCAAACTTTTACGTAGAAACAGTAAGGGACGCATACTTAGGTTTGTGGAAGCTTTAGCCATTTACAAATTGAAATCGCCCTTGTTTGTACAAAACTATTTGTTCTTACGCTATATCTAACTTGGTGATTATTATTTTCTTACCAAGATTACATTCAACTATGTCACTTTGCCTTTTTGTCTCCATCTTTCTTAATTGTAATCCCCTGAGATATTAATTGTTCCATTTTTCCCTCTATTCATTCTTCGGTTTCGCATAAATTGACTTGGCAAATAAATATGCGACCAGGTTGTTCAAAATGTATTACTGAAACAGATCACATTGTTGAGATGACCTTCATCTTCTAATTGTAATATTTCTATTTATAAAAAGCACCAGCTGTTCTAAATAATCATTCTGTTTTTAAAAATATAATTCCGTAAATTAAAACAAATTTTCGTGCCTCTATTATGTCTTTGGCATAGTGAAAATTACCCGTCTGTTGGACGCATAATGATGCTTTCTACGTATATTTCTTGGAAAGTGCACTGAAGGTCTCAGGCTTTGTCTTCGGGTACTAAGAAAACTGACATTCATGAAAAATCTCTGACTTCCACGCTTTCAGTCTTGCTGCCTTTCAATTAAATCATATTCCCTCAGTTTATCTTCATGGTTTGCCTTTATGTACCACTGTATTCTTGCTTCAGACTTTGGTATTCTGTCAGTAGACATCGAGAGGACAAGTTGACATAGAAGCTGTAGAGTCTTTCTTCATGAAGTTATTTTGTAGATGTATCATGAATTTACGTTTTCTATCTAATGCTATACCGATACAGATCGGTAGAATCATTATGCACTCGCCGATAGTTTCAATTTCAGCTGACTTGTTTTAGCCAAACTACAGAAAAGACCACTAAAAGATACTATCTAGTGGACATCATATATACTACTGTGATACTGACAACACATTCGCCAGTCTAGTAAGAGAATTTGATTAGGTCTATCATTTGTCAACAGAAAAGAGCTTGTAAGTGAACTTTATTTTCTGGAAGGTTTGTCGAGCAGTTGGGAAGAGAGTTCAGTCAAAAAAATTGTGTACAGAACAATCATGTCTTTAAGTTATTACAGATTTTCGTATCCATGTATATACTGTGCAAAAAATGAATCTAGTTAAATACCTTGCAGGTAAATTGTAAAAAGTATCTTCTGGCAATCCGACAGATTACGAGCTACAACGTGTAGTTCGCTGACTGAAACAAACTAACTTAACAGTTTTTTAAAAAGACATAGACAAAGATAAGACAAAATCAGTATTATTTATTGTTCGTGAATCGACTTCTATAGGTTAGTCAACATAACTGTTTGTATCTTAATGCTTAACCTCAATACGAATCAGTTGACTGGTTTTAAAATTGAGCCACTAAACTACGTAACGCGACACAGTCATACACTATTTTCTAGTTTTCGACGGAATCCCTCTAAATTGACTTCCAATGTGAGTCTGGCATAGATAAGTATTCAAGATAAGACTCCCATTCAGTGGAGATGTAGCCACAGAACATGTATTTGGAAGAATCTATAGAGCATTTAAGAGAACTTTTCGCGCTTCCGAAATCACTTCATAGCCAGTCAGTCGTAGTTGGTGGTATGATAAGTCTCCTGGTTTTGCCGCTTTATGTATATTTATGAGTTCAGTTACTTCTGATGACAAATATCTAGAGACAAATAAAATGATGTTTTACTCAGTATCTATCTTCAAAGCTATGGAAAAAATGCACAAAGATCTGAAGGTTGTTGCATTTGGTGCATATTTGTCACATAAGAGATAAAACCAATGTATCCAAGATAGCTACACATATTGGTAGCTACAGAAGTTCAGGTTAGTAATCTCAACATTCGAGATCCAAAGAAACTTGTAGGTTGGTTATCTCTCTCTCTCGGCTAGCGAAAACTTCATAAGGAAATTTACAGTCTATATTTTTCCATCTAATTCATGCCCCCACCTCTTTCCTTTACTTACTATATGTGTTTAGATTCCGGTTATCCACACACTTCAGTTTTTCGTAATAAACAAATTTTCGTTTTTCGTAACTTTTGATTCACCTCACTTATTGAAATGTTCTGACTGTTATGCTGTTTTCGGTGTTCTTGTCATCACCACCCTTATGGTGTCTTCTTGTTTCCACACCGTCACTGTAATTGGTAACTACATTATCAGTTCTATCAGTAATTTTTGAATACACCCATCTCTGAACAACCAGACTCCATGATCGATTTGATTTGTATGTACAGACTTAGTACTTTTTAAATTTCACTTAAGCCTACTGAGGATCTAACTGGAAGCAAAATTCCTGCCTTACGTGTCTTCTATTTTGTGTAAAAAGACTTTTATGTTAATTTACAAATCAATTGGTCACATTTCAAACTAATTCTTAATCGCTCTTCGAAAACAATTCACCTGTATTGTATTTTTAAGATGAATGGGGACTTTTTTTTAATTTAGAAGTAGTATTCATCATGGACTGACATCGGTTGGGGAACCACTGAAAATTTGGGAGCACTGGACGGCTATTCCGTCCAACTAGTTTGGACTCCTCAGCAGTACGCACCCACGACCCGGCTAGGGATCGAACTTATGACCTTCGGGTTTCACGGCGAACGCGTTAGTCATTCAGCCACTGGGTGAGTTTCCAGTGGTTCATAGTTTCCAACTTCCGTCAGTTCATGACATGGTGCGACTGTCATCCAAGTCCTTTAGTTAGCATCCACTTCACTTCCAACTGGTTGACCCCACAGGTCGATGGTGAATGCTGCTTTTCAATTAAAAAATCCTTATTCGTCTCCAAAATGCGGTACTGTTCAGTGCTCATTAGTGACATGCTTCCAGATGCATATCACGAAGCTTTAATGAGAAGCCGTGACCTGTGGGGTCAACCAGTTGGAAGTGAAGTGGATGCTAACTAAAGGACTTGGATGACAGTCGCACCATGTCATGAACTGACGGAAGTTGGAAACTATGAACCACTGGAAACTCACCCAGTGGCTGAATGACTAACGCGTTCGCCGTGAAACCCGAAGGTCATAAGTTCGATCCCTAGCCGGGTCGTGGGTGCGTACTGCTGAGGAGTCCAAACTAGTTGGACGGAATAGCCGTCCAGTGCTCCCAAATTTTCAGTGGTTCCCCAACCGATGTCAGTTCATGATGAATACTACTTCTAAATTCACCTGTATGTTTCCTTGTCTCATTCCATATCCTGATTTAGATGAATATTGACCCCATGGGATGCTTAAGATGTTAGAACTGATTCTTGTTTCACAGCTAATATCTAAGGTTCGGACACACCTGAGAAATAGTGGCGACACCTACGCACGACTTACTAGCTAGTCAAAATGAGAAACAATTTGAATGAAGCAGTTTTTCTCTGGTAATGAAATTCAGCATGCTTCATTTCTACGATATAACATAGTGTTCACCTTTGCAGTAACCTTTGAAATGATTTTCATATTTAACTATGATCGGTTCAATTTAGTTTTGTGTCGTCATGACAGATCAAATGAATTGCCGCCACAGTGAATGATTTTAATACTAATCACTTGTAGAGTGATAGTATATGGCTGTGATAATTCATTAGAAAAAACAGAAAAAACGAAAAGCAATCAGTTTTACTTGACCTTTATAAAGTTCAACATGGCCTTGAAATTATACTACAAACCTTCATGCTCCTCTTAGAATGTATGTATTTTCATATTTCTGAGGAGAAAGGGTTAACGAGATGTTTAAGAACTAACGAATCTCCCTTATTTCGTTAGTTAACTGACTGAGATCGAAACGACAGTCTCAGTTGAAGAATATTTTAACTGAAGGTGCTAAAATTGCTAGGTAGGGTCTCTTATGACTAAGCGACGAGGCATAGCTACTTACCAGACCTGAAGTAAACTTCTATCTTAGAGACTTTTTGCAAAATTAACGGAAGTTCCGGGCTTTGGACAGATCTTGAATGTGTACACCACTTTCATACATACAACTAATGACATTTAGAACCGTGAGATTGGACACAGTGAAACTTATTTTCAGAAATGATTTCTCAGTAAAACTTATCCATTAGCGGAGTAGTTTGCACACACTAACTTTATAAAGATGCATGCAGTATGCTTCCTATTATTCAGGAAACCTGGGCATCTTAAATGAAAGGGTATACGATTTACGTGTATATTAAACAGTTAACTTACCTAACCACCAGTCTTCTGAAACTTCATATATAGCTGCCACCGGCATTGGAAGTGTGGCGACCATTAAATCAGCTACCGCCAAACTTGCTATCAAGTAATTTGAAACACCCTAAATAAAATAATTCGGAAGAAAACAATTTAAGTGAGATCTTTCAATTAGAATTCATGTGTTATTAGAATCAAGAACTTTAATAATTACATTCATAGATATTTGTAAGTAATATTTTCAAATTTATCTGGTTACCGGTGATATAATTCTTGACATCATAGTCTTTCAATCGGATAGCAATCAAGAGACATTGATCCAATACACAGGTTATTAAGAAGGGATTACCCAAATGCAAACCAATCACGCAAATAAATAGTCAAACACCAGACAAACAATACAAGTTATATGTTAACGACAGTTATTAAGGTCGAATTCTGATTTAAAAACGCCGAATTCGCTCTTACCTACTACTCATTAATACTCAGTGTTGGTAAACATCCTTCATAAATATTCATGCAACTTGAAAATGCTTCATTTCTTAATAAGGTCAGTACTGAAGAAATTTCCCAGCCTGCCGACGAAACGTCCAAGAACATAATTCAAGGCTCGGAGAAGATCAGACAATGATTGTATCTAGATCCATTTCACTTTTCTAAATAGAATAGAATTTTGTCTGTTTTGGGGATCAGGCTAGACCATTGTGTTGTAATCTGCTTGGTGGCATGCGCCAGGCCACTCATTTCGTCCTATTCGTGACTTGTCAGACGAATGTGCCTGCGTTCCAGCGAGTGATGTTGTTCTAGCTGTGACTTAATACCCATCACTTCAAATGTCTAAGTGCTATCCACTAGACCGCTAGGGCAAGACAGCCACCTCTTGTTCATAGGATATCTAGTCAAGCAATTTGGCCCGGTGTAGCGATGGAATATTACAAGTACAAAACAATAAAACCAAACCATGTTATTACGTCAGAACGGGGTAAATATTTAAGCCTTATTACTCATTTGTCACTATTTCGGATCAAGTTTAAAATACTTTACACCGTCGTGTATCAGAATAAGACGTAAAAAATTTTATAAAAAATATTGTTGAAAATTAACCAGTCAACTTTACATTTCTTGCTACCAGCTGTTCAAAACTTCCTTGTTTACTTGAATTGGTTTCGACAGAGAAACCAACATAGCTGTCAAATTCTTAGTGCTTGGCACTGATCAAAGTCTGCTGGTCTCATTTTATAACGTGGCTATTAAGCTAAGTGTTGCTGTATTGCAGTGTACTGTGTTTTGATATTATGAGATGCAAAAGTTGACTAATGAACTGAGATAAGTATTGGACTTGAGGGATGAACAATCACAACAGTTTCTCTTGGTTTACCAATTCGTGTACTTCATTCAGTCCGACAGAGGGTAGTTGTAACCTTAGTATCTTAAACTCTGATAGCAGTGTTACATGACACAGGTCCGAAACACTACTTTCTGATACGCTATACTGATGCTTGCCAATAAGCATGAAAGTGAGGTTAAACGTGCCTTACTGAATGACTGTCAGCATCTAATACCGATATTCATTCCCCTTGACAATGAAAATGAAATGGCTTTGTTCATTATCATAAGTCATACGGGTAGATGATTAACTATCTTCACAGTAAACAATATTATCTATACTTCAAATAATTAACAATCAAGAAACGTATACGTTTATCCATGCAAAGTCTACGGATGAAAATTCTAAACCTCACTGCCTGGTATATTCCATAATAAAGGCTTATAAGGAATCAGTTCAGTTTCATCATTCTCATTTGAAATTCAGAAAAACTGAGATCCCTGTTAAGAATCATTTAATACGTGAGTAAAATAAACGCCGTAGGTAATGAGCTTAAGTGATCCTAAAATTCGCTGATCAAATTAGTGAATGAATAATTTTGAAAAAAAATCTGAGCTAATTGAAACAACAATGATATTTGTGCTCAGGAGTGTCTCAGCGACCATTGCTCACTGTCTCTCTTTGTTCTCTTTAATTACACTCATCAAATGAACACTCGGTCATATCACTTTGTTTTTTCAGATTAGTTTTTATACTGTCTGCTGGACGAGTAAAAGCTGAGGGAATCAATAAAGATAGCAAGAAAAGTGTAATGAATAAGTCAAGATGAATCATGTTTGATAGATTCTTCACAATAGAACCATCTATAAGGAAAGTGTCATGAAACTGAAGTAATTTATATAGGTCTTGTTCACGTCTTAGGCTAACATTAGTCATCTGACATGTGAAGGGATCAAGAATCAGGCAACTAAATGAAGAATAGTGGTCAATATTGGTTAAACAATTATTAAATTGAGAACAACCTGAAGAGGAGATGATTGACATGGATACTGTTAGGTTATCTGCTTACTTAACGAAGTTAGCTCTAGTTGGGGTTGATAAGTCGTACAAAAAGAAAGAGAAAAGAAAAGGAGAAAGACTAGAACTTCAAGCAATATAGGCTTCACTACGTAACGAAGTAGTGCACCTTCCTCTCAGACAAATACTAATCAAACCAGTTTGCAACGTAATGAGTAGCAATAAAACTGTTCAGCTATGAAGATCAATATCTTTGAAAGGGAATATCATCGGCATTCCATCTCCTTGTTTTGTATTCAGTGCATTTTTCAAACTTTATTTACCTTTTTTCGTCTCATAAATGCAGAGATAAAATAGATTTTTTAATTATTTGATCTCATTATGCAACTTATCTACCAGTGAATTGGAGTACTTTAATTTCATTTGCTTACTGCTTCTCTAGTTGCCTGTAGATAGAGTTATAGTGTTACAAAAAGTTGATAGTCACTCTGTCTAATACTTTATTTTATTCCTTTTTCTAACATATGAAATCTTCATTCCTATTGATTATTGAATCCTTCTATGTGAATAAATTGTACCATCAGACATTAATGTGGATGGTGTTTAGTAAATGTGTAAAGGACTGAAATCAGCATGTTTGTGTCGTTTCGACTAGGGTATGATTAATTGTCACATTTATGGAGGGGACAATTATGCACCTGACTACTTTTTCCAATTCGCTATCGAACAAAATTTGTCTTGTCCATCTACAGAGACAATGCTGCCTTCACTAGCAATTGATTCGCAATTATTGTTAACACTGAAATAAAAATGTTTTCCGATCACGTGTTCAGTGAAGCATTTAGACGAAGTAACACAAGAATTCGCTGGCAATCCAGAGATCAATTAACCTGCACAAAATGAACCATTACAGAACAAATACTTTCATTATTCAGTCACTAGTTCACACGATATGCCAGACATTAAGGTGCACCTCAACAAGCACAAAACTTAGGTTTGCGACATTCTAGTAAGTGACCTCAACCACTTAACACAATAAAATGAATAAACACTAGTTATTCAACTTACAGTTATTGCCCAACTGTTCCTAACACGTTGATGCAAAATTGAAGCTGGAACGGAATACGAAGATCCCACAGATTATAATTCGAGTGAACAATTATTTCCAACAATCTCTTCAGGTTTTACAGTTAGAAATCCATGATAGATGTAGTCAAATAAATAATAAAGACACTGATGTTCAATTTGAAAACCTGTTTTTCCAGACAAAAGACTTAACCTCGTTATGCATATGTGAGCTATAGAGTTTTCGAGCCACTCTGAATGATTGCTGCTAGTAACTTAGAAATGACAAACATCCTTTCAAAAGCCTACTCACTAAGACTGACCAAGAGGCTATCCAAAAGCTATAAAAGGATGATAATTTGACGATAACCAAACCTGATAAGACATCGCATACTGTATCATGAATCAGTAAGACTAAATAGATAAGATAAACGTTCTTCCCAGTGATCAAAAACTTTTCAGTAGGTAGAAAACTGTGAAAGTACTGTAGAAGTAATCGAATGTCAACTGGCCAAGACTTTGAAGAAAATGATGGTACAGAATCTTATCTCTAGGTCCATACTTAATGCATTAAAATCCTCAGGCACACATTTGCCCAAACTGTATGGCTTACCAAATGTTTACAAGCCCGGAATTCCACCACGTCCAGTACTACATATGGTGAACTCTCCATATAGCGCAACAGCAAAAATGGTTAGTACCAGCGCTAGAGCCCCAACATAGCGAATTGTTGAGATTCGGTGTGAAAGATGTTTTCACTTTCGTAGAACATGTCAGAAACACGAATGTTAAGGACAAGATGATGAGTTCATTGGATATAGCATCATTATTTATCAACATTTCGATAATAGAAACAGTCAACAATATTTGCGATGAATTAACAGTGCAACAGACAGAGGTTGGAATCCTACCTAAAAGAGTTAAGGAATTGCTAGCAACAAACATCATGAATATTTACTTTATATTAAATGATGCATTTTATAGACAAGTAGATTGGGTTGCAATGGGCTCTTCCTAAGGTGCTATGCTAGTGGATATCTTCTTGGTCAAACTTGAAAACGACCTACTTAAGGACACATTTGATAAACAAGACTGCTATTGTTGGTTTATAGATGACATGCTCATCATTGATAGTAAGGAGTGTAATAAAGAAGGTCTTTTGAATACCTAACATAGTCCCATCCAGCTAAGAAGCTAACCTGCGAAGAAAAACAGGGGGATAGTTTTTCCTTCCTGGATGTCCTCCTCATCAGCAAAACAGATGAATATATTGAGAGATATATTGCTCGAAAGAAGATAGGGACTGGCCGATATATTCACCTTCATAGCTTCATGCCAATTCATTACAAAAGAAAGCTGGTCAAATGCCAGAGTTACAGAACATGAATCACGTGTTCTGCTGTGTTGAAGAAGAAATGAGTAGAATGAAGATAACCTTGCAGCAAAATAGTTGTCCAGTTAACCTTATAAATAAAAACATGTTGAAACGTAGGGAAAAGATAAATAAGGATAGTGTTGTTAAGACACCTTTATGCTGAAACCAAGATGCAAAGGTGATACCTCAACACGCCCATTGAGTAGATCAGTTGAAAAGACATTCATTACACTGAAAGCTTTTGTCAGCTTCTTAACCAAACCATTACCTCAACAGTGAACCAAGGATACGTTATCAATGATGAACACTTCAAATGCTGCAGTGGAGCAAGTTACATAGG